CTACCCACCAACACAAAAGAGCTCCAATTTACTCGGTGGCAATTGACACTACCAAAATAAAAACACAGGATCCATTCACTCCAGGGCTCATGAGTCGTTCGTCTCTTTCAGTTTCACTCATTCATTCAATTCCCCTGTTCTCTCCCGCGGCTCATCCCCGTCCGCATGATTTTCACACCCCACCCCCTCCCTCCAGGCACACACAAAGAAAATCTCACTCATTCCCTTGCACCCTGCGAACCATGGACAATAATATAGGCAAAACACTGCCTGAGCTGCATTCCTTTCATTCGTGAGCTGTGGATCAGGCCAGGGGGGTCGATGCCGTCGTCTTGTAGTGGCTGTCGCCTGTGGATACACTCGTACATTCTTCCTTTCACCTGCTCTGTCACTCACACTGTCTCTCCATCCACAGCTCAGCTCGTCATACGTTCAAAAGTTGCCCACTGATCATGTTTAGTTAGTGTGTGTATAAATTTGCGTATGTACATGTGCATGATGGTGGTGGGTGTGTGGTGGGTGTTACTGAAGGCAGGCGGGCTTGCCATGCGGTGTTCCTTCCCAGACCAGAGAGAGGCAGAATGAAAGTTGGCGCCGAACTCTCGCAATAAATAGTGAAAAAATCACGAGACCAGAAGCCGGAAACCGTTCGGAGAAATAAAGATCGGCACTATTTCTCCGAACGTTCTCAGACTCTGAATTTTGTTCTGAATTGTGAGTCCAGCATGATGTCCGTTCCGACTTCCGACCCTTGTTCCTAAATACTTCCAGTATTTGTGAACATTTTTTCTATAATGATAACAATGGAGATGTTGGGCGCGATCTGTCGATTTGCGCGATCCATCGACCGCGCAGCGCTTTTGGTTGATTGAGGAAACGCGCGACAACCATCGATTGTTGCGCATTCTGTTGATCAGCGGATCGCGCAGCACTTTTTGTCGATCCGTTTGGTTGCGCATTCTATAGATCTTACCCCTGAGTTTTGTTATGTTTTGATATCGTCCAATCATGTGTAATTTAGTTTCACTCTCCAAAGTCAAACCAAAACTGAACGGAATTAACTGGAATCAGGGTTACAATAACGAACTAATCGAAGTGACAATTCGAGTCCGAATAGACAAAAATTATATTCGGACTCTGATTTGAGTCCAGTATGATGTCCGTTCCGACTTCCGACCCCTGTTTCTAAATATTTCCAGCATTTGTTAACATTTTTTCGATTATAATAACAATTGAGACGTGAGCTTTAATATGCAGTTACTAGATCTATCTAAACTGGCCCTCCCTGCGTTGTCATTAGTATGAACAAAACTAAGTTGAGCTGACCTTGCCGAGGGCAAAGTTAATTGTTTCGACCAATTAGACTGCGTGGCGATCGCACTCTCGGCTTATAATGGGGGAAGAGGTGTTGGGAAGGGGCCACGGCTGTCGGTTTTGTGCGATGTGATAACTTTTTAAAAAAATTACAGAAAAACTCAACACTCAACAAAATCAAATTAAACGTGTGGAAAGACAAATGGTGGTGAAAGTAAGTAATGATCATGATGATGCTGTAGTGGTAGTGGAAAGACCCTGAGTTGTCGGTTACCGTGTACTTAGACACTGCCATTGGGTAGATCTAATGAGAGTGCTCCTATCAGGGTTAGGCGTATACTTTTATAGGTCGGTGAGTATCGCTCCGAACACTTATTCAATATGGAGAGGTTGCTTGTGCTCGAGGTTCTCTTGTTCAAGGAAACAATAAAAAAAACAATACTTGTATAATAAATGTATAATCAACACACAACAATTTATCACAAGCCATTAAATCTTTTAACCGTATTTGGAATACCACTGTGAAGTATGCAGCCAATCACATCCGTCCAAATACTGAGTGCAGGTGCTCGATTTAACGTCGTGTCAATTTATCTGCCTCACTCAACCGTCAACACTTTAAGTTCATCACACTACTCTTCTTGGATGCTCAAACTCAAAGACTGATGTGCTCAGTAAACCAATTTTCTTTTTTTTTTATTAATTTCATCATCATAGTTTATCGACAGAATGCGCAGTAAGTATATTTCACGGATCGGCAAAAAGCGCTGCGTGATCCGCTGATCAACAGAATGCGCAACAATCGATGGATTGTCGTGAGTTTCCTCGATCAACCAAATGCGCTGCACGGGGATGGATCACGCAAATCGACAGATCGCGCCCAACAGAGACGTCGTGAGCTTTAAAATATCCAGTTACTAATCTAGATCTAGATTCTAGATCCAGATCTATTTTCTATATAGATCTATCTAAACTGGCCATCCCTGCGTCATTACTGTATACAAAACTAAGTTGAGCAGACCTTGCCGGGGGCAAAGGTTATGTCGACCAATGAGACTGCGCATAGCGATATCACACTCTCGGCTTAGGGGCCACGGCTGTCGGTTTTGTGTGGTGTGATTTTTTTTTTAAATACAGAAAAACTCAACACACAACAAAAAATCAAATTAAACACGTGGAAAGACAAAATGTTGGTGGAAGTAATGATGTTGCTGTAGTGGTGGTGAAAAAACTCTGAGTTGTCGGTTATTTTTAGACACTGCTATTGGGTAGATCTAATGAGAGTGCAGTCTTTTGACTTTTGACACAATTACTCTGTTCTAGTAGGCAATTCTAGTTCTATTTCTAGTTTTTGCGTAAAATCCCCCGACGACAGTCATATATTATGTAATCTCTTTACACTCACATAACTCACTTAGAAGCTGATTCCGAATAAATGAAACATTCTTATCGGACTCGAGTCCGAAAAGATAAAAATTATATTCGTACTAAAGCTGGCCTATTGTTATTATACTCTTGTGTAATTATACACTTATTACGGTAGTCGCGAGACTTCGTCTGTCTGCGTAAATTAAAAAAGGCTGCCATTATTCCCACACATCTCCGCCATGTATCCCATGGCTCACCCCTGCCTCGTGTTCCCTGTTGCCCCAACTACAATTGAAGTATCTTGATATTCAGACATCTAAAAATCTCTATCTCTGGAAATTGAATTCGATGCACAAAGAAAAAAACGCTTCTGGACGTCCTCGAAGAATGGCAGAATGAAAGATGACACCGAACTCTGGCAAATAACCCAAAAAATCTTGAGCCGTTCGGAGAAATAGAGTTGAAGTATATTTTCCAGAGCATTCTGTGAAATAGTCACTTCGTTTCTTAACCTATAAAAGTATAATTATGAACGAGTAGGCCTATATGTTTCTTTGTTTTTACACAAAACTGTGAGTGGATATCTTTGAAGTCAAAACAGACAATTAGATCTCTAGATTCTATCTATGTGGAAAAATTGTTGGTCAATCGGGGTAGGAGAAAAAAGAATAAACTTCCCGGACCGAGATTCGATCCGGCACTTTATAAAATAATTTGTACTTCTCCTGACGGAGACACGCTTTTGCCAATCAGAACTTTCAACATTTTAAAGGTAGATAAAGCTTAAAAATATCTTTACAGCACGGGTTCACGAAAGGCAATGTGACATAGATCTAGTCTATATCTTGACGTAGTTTTTTTTTACTTTGGGGAACACCATCAATGAGGCGGCTGGCATCGGATCGGCAGATGAGGTCTGGCAGAAATTTTAAAATTTTGGAAGCACTCATCTACTAAGGCAGAACATATACGCCTGTGGGCATGTACTATTGTACGGATAACTGTAGCATAATTCGTATAATTGTGTAGCAATTGTGTGCATACAATATTGTACGGATAATCAGACAGAGTTGTTCGCACAAAATTGTACGGATTATCACTTCATTAATTAATTAGTTGTGCATTGTTTTTACAACTCTTCAGCGGTGTTTTTATACTGTTGGACATTCGTAATGATCCATTTTTGCATTATGTAATGAATTACAGGTTTTAAATTACGGCTAGACTCTATGAAACAGTTTCTAGTATGACCCTTTCAAGCCTGATTGCCGCAGAAATTTTCACTTTTGACTCTTCGCAGACCTAATTGTGCTAGATCTCGATTTCTAGATCTACCAAAATTTCTACATTGATCCTTTACTGTCTCTGCTAGTCATGTCGAAATGTTTACTCTAACACTTCCCAGGCCTGGCTATCCTGCCGAAATGTTTTACTCTGGCCCTTTCCAGGCCTATATATTCACATTGTTATCAGTCATGGTGAATAGTGTTGTTGAGATTTTTTACTTATAATTATGGCACTTTTGAGGTCTAGTTATATGCTGAAAACATTTTTACTTTGATTCTTCCCTGGTGTTATTACTGCCAAATTTTCCCTTTGGCCCTTCCCAGGCTTAGTCATGCTGCCGAAATTTTTACTTTGACCCTTTTTAAGCCTGGTTATGTCACCAAATTTTATACTTAGGCTTTTCCGGGGCCTTGTTAAGTTGTTGTGCTGCTAAGATTTCTACTATGACTCCTTCCAGGCCTGATTTTGCTCCAGAAATTTTCACTTTTTGACTCTTTCCGGGGCCTAATTGTGCTAGAATCTAGAGATCTAATCCTAGACTACCGAAATTTTTTTCATTAATCCTTTCTTTCACGGCTAGTCATAATGTCGAAATGTTTACTCTAACACTTTCCAGGACTGGCTGTGGTGCCAAAATGTTTTACTCTGGCTCTTTCCAAGCCTAATAGTGAACTGTTATGAGTCATGGTGAATAGTGTTGCCGAGATTTTTTAGTCTGGCTCTTTCCAGGCCCAATAGTGAACTGTTATGAGTCATGGTGAACAGTGTTGCCCAGATTTTTTTACCATGGCACTTCTTAGTTCTAGTTATGCTGAAGACATTTTTACTTTGACTGTTCCAAGGCGTTAGTACTGCCAAATTTTTCTTTCGACCCTTCCCAGACTTAGTTCTATCCTCGAAAATTATACTTTGACCCTTTCCAGGCCTAGTTCGGCTGTAGAAAATTTGTCTACTTTGACTTTTGACGAACTTTCCAGACCGTGTACAAAATTGTATTTTCTTCCCCAATAATTGTGTTGTTTCAGACACTCGGCAACAGGATGCAAGGCATCTTTTGTACTAAAGTACAATTATTATGAAAAGCATCTGCATATTACAAAGGCCCACATGGACCACAACCATCCGACGACACCCGATACTTTTGCACAGGAGTACCAAGTCAAGCGACTCGCAGAAACTGAACGGAAGCATTTGGAGGTATGTTTTGTCCCAGAACCATAATGAAGGCCTTGTATTTCTGGATTTGTTGGTGTTTGCACCTTACTTTCCTATTGCAAACCTCCTACTGATCTTTTCTTTCGATTTTTTGCCCCATAAATCTCTGATTCAAGCGTCGATATTTACTCGCAACTGGTACGTGGTGACCCAAAAAAAGACCTGACTTTTGATTTAGTGAAATACGTGATGCCCCATTTTGGGGTCCTACTTGTCTGAGAGGGGAAAACACAATCCTGATGTTCCATGAGTAGCATGATAAGACAGCTGTTGTAAATAAATGTAGTGGTATTTCCGTGGTTATTGCTTCGTGGTGTCAAATACCTGCACAGCAAGGACCTTACCTAACGGTGAAAAATGTATAGCTCAAAAACGGCAAACACCATTTTTCCTTGTGAAATGTCTGGTCTGTTCTTGGGTCACGTCGAACAATAGTAAATATAGTAAGGCCATATAACTGCTAACATAATTAGAGCCACCAAGTTTCGATTGCCTGATCATAAAAGCATGTCAAATAAAATGAAAGAAGATTACATTGGCGGCTCACACCCCTGACTAGCCACATTGCTGAGTAAAAGAAGAAATTTTCAAGATAACTGTTCCTTATTTGGGTCACAACGGGCTGGTTAAGATCAGCCTGTCTTATGTCTTCCTTAAGTAAAGACGAAATTGAGGAAGTAATGTTGCACTTTTTTTCTCCCATAAATGGTCGCTTTTAAGGACAAGCGGGCTAACCCAGATTTCGTGGTTTCCAGAAATCTTGACCTACACCAAAAGTGGGCATTACCCTACCTATAGTAGAAGTTTCGTTTCATTGGTGTGTATATTTGTTTGGTTAGAAAACTCTCCTTGTCCTTTAAAAGAAGCTGATCAAGGGGCAAAAACTTTACCTTCGATTTTCTCAAAACAGCATTTTTCAGGATAGCCCCCTTGCACTTAAAAGCGGCCAAATGTATTCCCTTCTGCATTGTCTTCATTTTCCCTTCACAGGACATTGTGAAACTAGATCCTCCGAATGAAGGCTTGATGCACCTGGTGAATAGCGAGTTCAACAAAGCGTACACATTGACAGAAATTCGGCGTCTGAAACATCAATGTAAGTATTACTGTGCCCTGGTAGTTTATCAATTTTGCCTAATTTTTTCTGAGTTAGAACAATGAAACAATAGATAGCAGCTGTCCAAAAGCAGACTGTCCAGTAAACCTGCTATTGCAGACTTGCCAACCTTCCCTATTTTGTGGGGAAATTCCTTAGTTCAGACTGCCTTTCCCTAAGTCTCTATAAATTTTTCTTATTATTTGAGCCGTAGTGGAAAATCTATTTTCTCTCTTTAACTTGCTGACAGAGTGATTTTATTGGTAAATAAAAGCAGTGTGATCCACTGTGTCTACTAAAACAGTAGATCTAGTACTGTTTAAGTGTATAGAGAGATCTGAGTATTTGGTTATGGGTAAGGAAGTGTCTACGTACTCCCCGATTGGGGTCTACATAGTCATGGTGTCTAGGTGGACCCCAAAATGTTGGATTGTGATTGGCTCGCTGAGCGAGCGGTAGTTTCCATTGGTTGCAACAAAGATACTACACCCTACGGTAGGCTGTACTATCTTTGGTTACAATGCAAGGCTACTGATTATCTTGGGCGGTGTGTCGATCTAGTGTTACTATAATTTATTTATTTTAGCCCAGAGAGAGAGAGTATTTAATAAACGTATCTAGATCTAGAATCTAGATCTAATCTAGATGTCTAGATCTAGAATCTAAATCTAGACCGAACTGCACCCTTTTGGCTGGGTGTACAACAAAATCTAGATCTAGATCTAGATACGTTTATTCATTAAATACTCTCTCTTTCTCTCTCTCTCTCTCTCTCTCTCTCCTTCTCTCTCTCTCTCTCTCTCTCTCTCTCTCGCTCTCTCTCTTGGCTAAAATAAATTAATTATAGTAACACAAGATAGACATACTACCCGAGATGATCAGTAAGTAGGTCTAGCAGCCTTGCATTGTAGCCAATGTAAACTACCACTCGCTCAGCGAGCCTATCACAATCCAACATTTTTTGGGTCCACCTAGACACAATGACTACGTAGACCCAAATCGCGGAGTACGTAGACACTTCCTATGGGTAAAAGGGTTCCGTGTGCAATTTCCCTATTTCTGCCTTGAAAAAGTAGGGATTTTCCCTACTTCTGTCTATGGGAGGTTGGCAGGTCTGCTATTGGACAGAACACTTATCTATCTGTTTATTTTTTCAAAAACTCACTCCAAATTTCCAAATTTTGGTCAGCCTCTACAGACTTTATTTCTGGATGGATTTCGATCAAGTTTTGCTTTAAAAACTCCTTTGAATCTCCCTACTATTTAGCAGGGGATGAAAACACACCGAATGTACACAACGGAGCCGCCCATGTAGGTGTCGGTGGCCTCCTCCTGGGGATGCAAAGAATGGCACCTACTGCCTGTGTACAGGCATGGTACAATGTACAGTAACAGACTGCAAAATGTACGCACTTTCCTCCCTCTTCTGTCCCATTGTCTTTATACAGACCAGAGCATCAATGATTTATTTATAGAGGCACCATGTCTTTATATAGTGGAACTAAGTAATGTACAATGTATTCAGCTTTCTCAATCAAAAGTAGCTTGGTTTCAAATGAAAGGCATTTTCGTTTCTTTGATGCGATACCTAAGAAATGCTGGACAATTTCAGGAATATAATGAACTCTGCCTAACACACATTTACTTTGCAAAAGAGCCTGTTTGTTCAAATGTCCTTTATCACCTATAACGTGCTGTTTGCCAAATATGTTGCTGTGTAGAGCCTAGCATACGGCAACATTTGATTCCTCCTCAGTCGACAGCCTCCCCCCGGGGCAGTGCCACTGACTGTAGTGTCTTTAGGCCATTCCCAAAGGGGGGGCATTTCTCGTTCAAGCACAGTAGAATTGTAAATGGGCTGATTCATGTCACGCTCATAACTGTGCCTGATCTACAACAGGGAACTGCTGCTTTGTCTTTCCTAATCCTTACTATTGTCATTTTCCTCTATTTGTTTTGTATGTTTGTCACTCTCTTGTGACCTGCTATTTCTGGGGTGCCTTGATAGTTGATGCAGACTTTGTGCTGTTGAAGCTAGAGAGGTGAGCAGAGTAAGTCTGATTCCCTGTAAGGACTCCTCTGTTGACATCCACCCCTTGGCGCTCATATGACCTTATGCAGTTGCGAGCCCCGTAAAACCCTCTACTAAAACTAAAAAACTCAGTCAACAGCGCAATTCATTCCGTAGATCTATGTCAAGACTAGCTTATCGTTGTCACGTTGATCAGTAGCCTGGGGGAAGGGAAAAATGTGACGCTTTTACTTTTGTATCTTTACGGGCGTACGCTCGGACCGTGTGTGTTTTGGTATGAAAGAAGACCACTGAATGGCCGCAGATAAGATAAGATAAGATAAGATACATCTTTATTGTCCAGATCCTGGCACATTGGTTTGGTGTTCCACCACAAGTACGCACACACACACACACACACACACGTGCACACACAGGCACACACAAGTAGGTTTACAATCACATGCATAATATAAATGAGCAGCAATATAAACAATAATAATCGTAAGCGGATGCTATGGATGGTTCCCAGGAATAGATAAAAGGTTTGTTGTAGGAGAAAGATGAGCGAACCCACATCGGCGAGGGCTGTTCATCCTGCAAGCGACTTAGTTGGATCAGAGCTTGCTCATTTATGTGTTTGTTAAAATCACGTTTTTAAAAAAATTGATTTTTATGAAGAGTGAAAATGGGGAATCAAACTCTTTTTGAAACGGAGTTCCACTGTACATGATAGCTGATTGTATTTCGATATTGATTCTGATTTCAGTGAAATCTGGTCGTGCCCGTGGCGACGTGGATGATTAGTTGGACAATTTGGAGGGGCTGCACAGATGGAAAAAGATCCCACCCTAAACACGACAGACGTGACCCCTACTACATATTAAATAGAGCTGACCAGGTCACAATCTTTGTGGCCACAAAAGACTCAAACACCACATGCACACATGAATTTAAAGTGGGAGAGTCTGCGATCTGTGAATGTGGACACGACCAAGAGGATGCCAAGCATATCCTTCAGCACTGCCCGCACTACACCACCCTTCGTACACAGACGAGGCAGAATGTGACTCCCCTTGAGAGAAAGCTCTAGAGTCTATGGCAGTCTCTCAGATTTGAAGCGGAGTGCACAGTTTGTGCACGACATTGGACTGACTGCCTTGCTGCCGTCATCGAGAAAGAGGAAGAAGAAGAAGAGAGGAGGGGCTGCAATCCCATGGACAAGTGAAGGTGCAGATTTCTGACAATGGAAATGGGAGATTGGTCGATGGTGTTGTCTTTTCGACCTCCCACTTGGTCAGCTTGTTTCACAAGTACCCGGATGTTATATACATGGATGGTCAGTACCATTTTTTGTTGTTGTATTTCCTGGGAAAGAATGATGTGTTAGCACATAGCCCTGGTGCCTCCGAAATTGCCCCCGATTTGTCCTTTTTGTTGACGTTTTCTATTTCCTCTTTGTGCTCACTGTATGCATTTTATCATCAATATTTATGGTGGGTGGTTGGCGGGTGCTCAGGTGTGGTTTGCTTCTTCTTTCCTATCATCAAACATCTATCGTCTTTATCTCCTTTCCTTCTTTTTTGTATTTGTTACTCTCTTGTAACACTCTAATCTTCGGCACTTATATGACCTTATAAATAATAATAATAATAATAAATAAATTACACTTTTATTTGTCCCAGAAGGGCACTTTGTTTTACAATGGCAAACATACATACATAAATACATAATTATAAATACGTACGTACATAAATACATACATGCATAAATACATACATAGATACACACTATTACACAAATACAGAACAGTTTACTAACAATGCCACTGTCGGTCGCCACTGTGCAGCGCCCTGTAATTTGGCTAGGGTTGTCGTGTCTTGCTCAAGGACACACCCCAGTGACCACCCATCTGATCCCCGTGTCACCGATACTTGCTTGACATTGCTTGAGTCAAAACTCACTACTCACTTAGCCACTGGAGCCCCCAGTGTGTTGCAAGTGCCGTAAAACACTTAGTAAATTTAAAACAATATTTTGTTTTTTTTCACACTCAAAGATGGACAAATCAACAATCTAGTAGATAAATTACCACAATCAGTGTTTTAGATCTTCATTTCAAGCTAAAATATTGGGGGGAAAATGTGTTTTTTATAATTGATCTACACCTTATTACACAATCAAAAACGGTCAAAGTCATGTAAGTTTTATGTGCCGAATCTGTCACCTCATTCATTTCTGTCAGTCTCTGGAACGTTTTGTGTTTATATCTTGAGTAGTTTGGGGAAAAATAGACATTTTAGTACAGGTTTGAATACATGGAATTTCCTTGAAATTTGCTCTTGTGTGACTTTTTCATTTTTCTTCTTCCTTTTAATCAAATACATTTTTTGTTCTCGAGCGATCTCAGTTTTACTCAACCCACCCAGTTTCTTTGGATTTCCCCTCAAATGCCTGTATGTGATGGCAAGGTACTATCTGAGCCTTGTAATGGCAAAGTGTTAAGGGTTAAATCTAGCCTAACTATACTATACCCACAATCATCATCATCATCATCAATGCCTTTCACCCGTGGCAGGGTATAGGCCACATACAAGCTCCTTCCATTTATCTCTGTCCTGAGCCATCCTTCCAAGCTCGTTCCAAGTGAGCTTCATCTCTCTCATGTCCCTTTCCACCCATCTCTTCCATATTTCCTGTGGCCTACCCCTGCCTCGTGCTCCTTGTGGGTTCCACTGCAGTGACTGTCTTATGATGTTTCCGCTGGGCTTTCTTAAGGTGTGTCCCATTCATCGCCACTTTCTTAGTCCTATTTCTACTTCTATATCCTTTTGTCTTGTCCTTTCCCACAGCTCTTTATTTCTTATTCTTTCCATACCCACAATACATGTGTATAAAACTTGTTAGACCTTGAACTTGCCATGCTTTTGAGTTGACAACCTATGTCTGGCGTGTCTTCTCCAGGGACTTACAAGACCAACAAGTGTGG